ATCAGCACGATGGCAGGTGGCGGCGCGTGGGCAGCGATGAAGAGGCCACCGAGTCCGCCCAGCCTCACTAAGCCACGACAACGGTAGCCGCACATTGTCATTGTGCACGCAGCCTCTCCCTTTAAACGATGCGAGGAGTTCAGCACGCATGCAGTAACCCAAACGTCAGCCACTGCGCGCTGAAAGCGGCACGGAAGGAACAGCTGCCTCTCCCTTCCGCCGTGGGCCCTTGGGCGGCCGTGAAACACACCCGGTCGCAGAGTGACAACGCCTACGTGGCACAACACATGAAAGGGCAGGCTTTGTGGTCGCCTAGCTGGCATGCAAGGGCAGGGCAAGAAGGGAAAGAAGTGGGAACAAGAAAAAACGATGATGGGGGCGCACATGAGCACACCGAGCGCCGTCAGACAAAAAAAAACACAAGCAAATAAAGTGCACGTCAACAACGCACAAGAGATTCTTGCTGCATACTTGCCCGCACCCCACCTTCTTCCCCGCTGTTTCCAAACTGCGCGAGAGCCGGATCACAGGAGGGATGCGGAGACGCAGGAGTGTGTTCTTACTCCAAGATGCCCAAGGGCACTTCTTGCACATCGACCCCTTCTCACACTCCTGAATCCATTCACAGGAGAGACCCGCGTGGAAAAGAAAAAAAAAAGGAATAAATGCTTCTTCTGCACACTGGTGGGTTCTCTCCAAATGATGCAACTGCAGCGCAACAACTTCTTTTGGGTCGTTGTTTATTATTACGTTTAATTTTGCGGGTCAAAAATGATTGTATTCCTCTTTCGCTCCAATCCCTCTCAGACGCCCTTTGACGACTTATCGGCTGTAGCCTTGTCACTACCACACACACACACGCACATCTTATCACTGCCTCACAGCCCATCCCGTTTTTTGTTCCAGAGGTTTTTTTTTGTTTGCTCTGCTTCTTTCCGTTTTGCGTGACACCTCTTATCTCCTAGAGGGCTCACAGTGGCACGGGAGGGCAAATGCGGCGCATTGGTGCGTTGGTGGTGGCAGAAGAGGAGGGAGACAAGACACGGCACCGCATATCCTGGGCTGAAAAATGGGCACAACACCACACGACACAAACAAACAAAGGGCACAAATTATACAAGTAGAATATTATACAACAAAATGTGGAGCCCTCGTTGACGGGAGCAGTGGTCCTCCTTTAGCTGAGGACCGGGTTCAGGGGAGGGAGCGTCCTTGTTCTATTTTCATCCTTTTTTCTCCCAGCCATCTCACCCCACACGTGTCAAATGCATTGCGAACGTCCAACTACCACGTGCAAAGAAAGACGGATATCGGCGTGGATACGGATACAAATGCATATGTACACATTTGAATTTCACCATTTCCCTCCTGATTTATTTATTTTTTCACGTCATTCCGTTATTTCATTTCACATCTCCCGGTTCCCCGTTCCGATTCATCCTCGTGCAGGTCAATGCATGGAATGCTGGAGGGGGAGGAAAAGATACTGCACGGGCAGGCGAGAGGGGAATTGAGACAGGCGGCCTCACGGAGGGCACGCCGCGAGGGTCCACGGAAAACAAAGAGTAGGGTGTATGAAAAAGCGGCAGCCGCCGTCAAAAAAGTAAAACCAGGAATCAAGCGCACAGAAGAAAACCATGTTAAAAAAGAAAACGTGAGTGACTCACACCCCAAAAAAGGGTTAGAGAAACAACGTCTAAAGGGATAAAGAAAGGCGTGCACCCTCAAGTACGTGAGTACACGAACGAACGAACGTGTGTGTGTGTGTGTGTGTGTGTGTGTGTAAAGAAGATGTACAACAATGAGAGAATGGCATCGTCGAGGAAAAGAAAACAAACAAAAAAAAAAAGAAGGGAAGGGGAAGAAGAAAATAAAGAACAAACGTCACTGTAGAAAAAAAAAGACGAAAAAAAAAACAAAAAAAACTAAAACTAAACAGAGAAATGGTGTTGCTGCAACTGCAAAGCGTCCCAGGACAAACGTGAAGGCAAATAGGAGGCGACGCGAGAAGAACAACACGAGTCCCTCTGCTCAACTGTAATTTTATTTATTCATTGTGTGTGTGCGTGTGTCGGTATATGTTTGCTTGTTCTTTCATTTATATAGAACGATGGATATAGATGTAGCTGCCTTCATTCTTTCTATGTTCACGTATAGGCAACAGCGGGCACGTCAGTCATCAGAGCTGTTATCTTCGGTTTGGGCCAGTGAAATCGTTAACCGCCTCGCACTCTGCCGTAGACAATCTTTCCTCACCCTCCCTCTCTCCCTCTCTGTGCGTTGGTGCGTGCGTCTTCTCCTAGCCGCATCATGTGAGGCCATGTGAGACTGACTGCCACCTCGTCTCTGGTCATTCGGTTTGCCACGTAAACCAGCATGCGCTGTAGTTTGTAGAATGTAGCTCGACGGCGTCGTTGTCGATGTCGGCCGCGCCCTCAGCCGTGAGCTTCGCCGTAGATGGTCAGAACGGTGCAAAAGACCACGGCGAAGACGCCGAGGATAATGAGCAAATACGTGGCGATGAAATTCGCCCAGCCGACCTCCTTCAGAGACCAGTTGCCGGAGTACATGTGGAAAAAGGCGGGGAACAAAAAGGCCAAAAAGCCACCGCACACACCGCCCAAGAAGCCGAACACGACGGTGATGCTCGGTATGAAAAGGCCGAGTATGAGCGCCGCCAGCGCAAGAAAGCCGCTGACGAGAAGATTACGCCGCGTGGAAACGTCCGACGTTTTCCCCCAGCCAAGGACATAATAGATGGCGTCGCGCGATGGCTGAATGCAGAGCGCAAATCCTCCGCAAAGCTTGAATGCAATGCCAACGTACGAAATCACCATCAAAACATCATTCTTGGGGTCGTACAGTCGCAGCACGGAGCCTGCCACGGCGTTGCCAAAGTCCGCGTAGCCAAAAAAGCCTGCAAAAAAGTAAAGCAAGCCTACAAACACCATACTCAACGTCGTATCTCGCGTCATGCGGTTCGGTGAGGGGTCCTGCATCTCCTCGTAGACCTCAAAGCAGTTCACCTGACAAATAAACGCAAAAATAAGCAGTGAAAGCCCATTCAGTGCTTTTGTTCCATTACCGTATAGAGACAGGTCCGACGACATCCCCTCTTTTAAGCCATTGTTGGCGGCATGCATCACCATGCAGATGACGAAGAAGATGAGGCAAGCAACCCCAATCACTGAGGCGTAGCGAAGGGAATTAATCTCCTTCGGAAGCGAGAGAGAAAACATTCCAAGCAGCCAAACCCCACTGATCAGCAAAGACTTTCCATGGCTCGTACGAAAAAACTCCGGTGTCGTTTTAGACTCCAGAATTGGGAAAAACAAGTCGCCGATGGAGATGACGTACCCCACACAGGTCCCAAAGCAAAAGACGAACATGAGCAAGGCCACAAAGTAGTCGACACCACGCATAAAAAGGCCTTGCGCCATTTCCTCATACGATCGAAATCCTGTCTTCTCCTTTGCGAGTACGAGCAGTCGAATAGAGTACACAGTGCATGCGCAGCACAGCGCAAGGAGAAGGGACGCGACGACGATGCCAGAGTCACGGAATCCCGAGGGTAACGCAACAATACCGGCCCCAAGCGTCGCACTTGCCAAGTTGAATGCGTTCGAGAGAAGTCCGCCGTAAGGCACAATGTCGGCCACACGCTTCATGGCGCGGTAGGCCCCACCGCACTTCATAGTTGCCTGGGAACGCTCCCCCTCAGCCCACTCTGTAGAGGCGACCTTCACCGCTTCATATGGGCTGCCATCCACAGGGCAGTTGTACGTTTCGTTATCCGCCGGGTTCCCTGCTGCTTCCCTCGCTTCCCCGCCTGTTCCCTCACGGCGGCCCTCCATTTCCAGTCAACGCAGGTTAGCAGCACAACAAAAAAAAAAACTATACGCGTGTACATATAAAGAAAAAGAAGAAGAAAAACAAAAAGGGGGCAATTCGTCCACAGATACAATCGCAAACACCATGTATCACAACCATATGCACACACACACACACACAGACACACAAAACCGCAACCATAAACCGACTCTTATCCCAAGATGTCTCTCGCTTTGGGCTTCAGTCCTCGTCCAGAATATCCTTCGCGAGCCGCCAACCCCATGGATTCTCTGGACACGGATACGGTGGTGCAATGGGAACACCACGTCGCTTTCGTTCCGCATCCTCTGCAGCGTGGCGCAAAGCCTGCTGTACAGCGGATACACCGGTGCCCCAGAACAACAGTGGCCGGTCGGGCACACGCCATGTCTGCCCGAGCAGCTCAGGTTGAAAAATGCGCTTTCGTCGCTCAAACGGATTTCCAGCCTTACGCTCACAATCCTTACGAATGTCTTGCCACGCCTGCACATCCGCGGCAGACACGTATGACATGCCCTCTGGAATAGGAAGCAGTGGAGGTCGCTCCGCCTCCTCCATATTCTCTAGCCACTCCATCTCCGTCTTAACGTCATTCTCCACAATTCCCAGAAGGCGTTGGGTGATTCTCTCTCTGCGTTGCTGCTGAAGTGCATGTAGCTCCTCTGCCAAGGATTGCTCGCCTCCCTTTAGGCTTCGAATAATCCGCCGCAGACTTCGAGCCTTAGTGGCTGCTGCGCTCTCTATACGTCGCTGCCGAATCACCTGCTTTGTGATCGCCTGAATCTTCTCAAACAAGGCCGTTGCTTCTGCATCGTCGTATACGTTGAATAACTTCTGCTCATGATCATCCGCACGAGAATCATCAACCACAACAGCCTGAGCTCCATCGGGGGTGTTGTTCCCTGTTGTTGCTGCTGCTTCAAACAACGCTGCTCTGCGCTCGAGAATCTGCCTATACAACTCACGGCACTGCTCCGCCTCAGGGGCAGACTCAACACCCTCAAAAAGTTTTGCGTTCTCTCTGACGCGTTTTATCTGTCGTTCCATCTGCATGTGCGCCAAGTACCGGAGTCGCTTTTCGTGCCACGATTCCAACCGCTTGTCTCTGGGATCCATAAACATTTTCTCCACAATGTTTACCACCTTCTGCACCTTCACCCGGGCAACCTCCGACTCCGCCTGGCCTGCAAGGGCGTCGCTTGGTTCAGCAGGCTTAGCCTTTGCCTGCAACGACGCCTGCTCGCGTTGCTGAATTTCCAGCAATCGCTGATACTCCGGTGTGCTCTGCAGCGGTAGCAGCAACGCCTTCTCATACCATCGCTTTGCCCAATCAACAGGTGCAGAGCCCTCCTTCGAGGCGTAGTACTGCACCACATCTAGCGTACTCAGGGTGTCTGCGTTCATGGAATACAGCTTGCGCAGATTCTCCACGTAGGCGCTCAGCGTCTCGTCCTTAGAAGTGTGATGAAACCCACTGCCTTGCGTCAGGCGGGCAAAGACCTCGCAAAACTGCAAAAACTCTTCCTGCGCACGCATCTCTGTGAGAACCGTCTCTGCGACGTTCATGTCCAATCCAACGGCCCGGCTTATCATCCGCTTCAGCTTCTCCATGCGTTCTGTTTTTTGATCCTTCTTTCCACATCGATGGCCGCCGCTCCTTTGCTGGGCCACGCGCCGCAGTCGCTCAACTTCCTTCAACTGAAGTTCTTTTTCCTCCAACGAGATCCGACGCAAACGGGCCTCCGCATATTTGAAGGTGTTCGCAAGGTGCTTCTGCGTCTCCAGGTTTAGTTCCGCCGTCATGTTCGCCAACTGTCGTCGCTCCGCCTCCGTGCTCACACCCTCCCGCTTCTTGTGAACGTAGTCTGTAAACACCTGTTTAATGTGAGTCATGGCGTTTTCCAGTTTATGGACGTTCACTGGGTCAAAAAGCGAGGCGTCCGCCGCATCGTACACCGCCTGCGACACGCCAAGGGAATGTTGCGGATTCTTCAACTGCACAGGCAAACCCAGCTTTATCCGTTCGTACTCATCTCGAACCGTCTTCTGCGGGTCCAGGTCACGGGTGTCGACCATGGTAGTCTCAAAGTACCGACGCCGCTGCTGCTCCGTCGTCTCAGTAGGGTGTTCCCGCAGCATTTGGCTCATGTACTTCGTAAATGCGTGCTTCTCGTCCATCGGGACACGTTCCCACTCACTGTCAGTGAGAGACTTTGCCCGCTCCGCCACCTCTTGTCCTAGGCGGCGGGCCGCCGTTGAGGAGCGCTCCTTTTTGCTGCGCACGGGCGGTGACGAGGCAGCGCCACCCAGGCCCGCAAACAACGCCTGCGCTTCGAAGTGCTTCTTCTGTGACGCGTGCGTCGCCACCATCTGCCGGAGCTTGGCTCGTTGGCTGCGTGGATTGAGGAGCGAACTGCCCTGCGAAGGGATGCGCTCCCCCTTGCGCAGCAAGCGCAACGCCACCCGCATCCACAGACTACCTACACAGACACAAACAAGAAACAAGGAGAGAAAAATGCCCCTCCAAATAACTATCGGCCAGAATAACTGCAACGACGGGCTTGTGTTGATGTCCTCCGTGTTGCTGCAGGGGAAAAAAAAAATGCAAAGAAAAAAAAAGGGAGAAAGCAGTAGTAAGAAAAGCAAAGAAACAAAGAACGGGCCCAGCAAAAGAGGCGCCAAAGTGAGCAAGAAGAAGTGTCACGCCGCAGGCCTACCGCCCAAAGACATCCAGACAAACTTATCCAGCGGTTCTCTCAGTGAGTGGGGGGGGGAGCGCAGGCGTTGATGAGGTCGCTCTCGGCCTCCGCCGCACTAGTGGCTAACGCCTCCACCGTAGCGTGAAGCGCAGGCTCCAACGCCTCCGAAAGTGGGACGGCGCACGTGCTCGCGGAGCTCAGCACGTATGGTAGCTGCTCCGTTCCTTGTGTCGCCGCACTCAAAAACCGGCCTGACTGTCCACATTTTCCTGCATCAATCTGCTCCACCAATTCCGGCCTCGGCAACGACGCCCCGCCCTGCCGCCTTTCCACACAAGCCCCCTCGAGGGGACTCACGGAAGACATCCAACAGCCACCAACTGCGGCGGCAGAGACAACGCGCCACGCGGCACGTCTGGCTTCCCCCGGGGGCCTCCCTTGCCACGTTCCCAAATGGCAACAACACAGACCAATTCAGCCAAAAAAGTTTCAAAAAAGAAAAAAAAACGAAGTGGAAAGATAGCCACGCCAAAAGCATTATGTGAGCACACCCGCACACCGCAACAGACACAATTCCTTGCGCCAATGCATACGTTGCACAGCTGTGCAGTGCCAAGAAAAAAGAGGCAAACAACAAGAGAGTTTCACACTCACCTCAAAGTTCCCTTCAAACACAGAGAAGATTATGGTGACCAAAGCACTGAAAACATTTACTGTGTCCTTCCAAGGCGTGAAGGTCAGCCTCCGTCTTGCAACCGCCGGCAATAACGCCGGTGTCCAAGCATAATTCAACCTCACTTCATCCGTGAGAAGTTTATCGTGCTGCAGAGTGCCCATACAAAGTCAAAGCTTCCCAGCACCAGCGCACCTTCCATGGCAACTAAAAGTTCTCCCATGCAGACGGCACAGAGTCCTACCCACAAGGAAGCAAAAGCAGCATGGCAAAGACGGCGTGTAAAGTGTTGCGCCAATAACAAAAAGGAAAAAAAAACTACAAAACTATGTGTATTATTCGCTTTTTGTTTTGTTTTTTCCTCTCTCCTTTTTGTATCCCTTAGGCGCGTCTTCCCGGCAAAACCGCCGTTTTTCGCTTGTGCAGGAGCATCATCCCGACAGACCCAACACAATGTCATCGCAGTCCGCCGCCAGAACAATGACGGAGGCCAACGGTGTGCATAGGCAAAAGCCACCTTGCGAAGAAATCAGCTCTGCCTAAGCCAACCAGGTGTGATTCTCCTATTCATTATTATTTGTTCTGTACGATCCCCCTTCACTGCTCGAGGTGTCCATGTCAGTACAATACCGTAAATTAAAAAGGTCGTTGTGCAGCTGTGAATTAATGTAGTTTTTGTTCGTTTGTTTCCTTCTTCGTTCCCTGTGTCTCTTCTTCCTAAACCATATATTCCCGTTTCGAATAGGTGTCTCTTGGTGGGGAAGAACGCACCTAACGGTGTACGATGAAACTCTGCCGCACTATATCTGCGTCTATTCTTGACCACACAGCCCCCATGCAGGGCCCGTGTAAAGCTGCATCCAAGAAAACCCTCGAAAGAGAGCAACGTCTTGAGGTGTACAATGAAGAACCACACGCACACACACGTACATAGACGCTTCCTTGGAGCTCAATGATTCTTACGGCAAAGGTCACAAAAGCCTCAGAACACAAACATTTTCAGCACCAAAAGCCCCATGAAGAGCAACTGAAATATGTTCATCCACCACAGGCGTCCAACAATAACTTCCAGGCCATGTATGGCGACACGTTGCTCTACCCAACGGTAGCGAAGCGACTGAATTTGCGCATCTCTAGCCGCGTACCGAAGTGCCTGGTCTTGTGTTAATGGACTTAGCACAGACTCAGTCCCAGAGGATCGGGGCGAGTTTAGAGAGCTGCTTAATAAACCTCCACGTGCGTCGCCATCAACAAGTTCGGCTGAAATCATGTTTGTTATTCGAAAGGCGTTTCGAAGTGTTGACATGGATCCAAGAAGTGAAACCGTGACAATAATGGCAAGCATCAGCATAAGCCCCTGAAACAGCACACTCGGCGCCTGCGAAGCATCCCCGTCGCCGGCATCATCATATTCCATTTCCTTACCCTCGCTCTGACTGCCTGCATTCCCGTCCTCATCCTCGGCGCTGACCTTGACGCCGTCACCCACTAAATCCTCTGAGATCATTTGGAGCATCAATCGGTATCCATTTGTCATTTCCCGAATCGCCCTGGGCACCACCACGTATTGGATAGCTGAAAATGCCAAGCTCATTTTTTTGCACCCACCCCAGATGCCCACAGTGCAGTCCCCATTGAGTGAGTCCGCTGTTATTTCCAAAAAGGCCTCCGTACGGAACGACTGACCCGCGGGAACACCTGGGGTCTGGGAAGAAATTTGATACGCAAGCGCCACAGTCCCGGTGGAGGACATTGTGTACGCGAACCGGTGGACCTCGTTCAGCTGCGTCAGGCTTCCAACCCTGGGCACGTCCACCACAGTTACAAGCGACACGGTACGATACCCGCTGCCCATGTCGTTCATATACATCCACTTCCCCACATGTAGGTCAGTTTCCTTGCGTCTGTAGTGGTACCGCTTCAGAAAGTCAGAACTGTTGGCAAAGGCACTCCCCCACAGCCTGGCGATGGTGACACCTTTCAGCAGTGTCGGCGCAATCATGCACTTCTTGTCCTTCAACTTCTCAAAGGGGGAAAACATGCTCTGTGAGACACCGTTGGAGTACTGCTGCTTGGCCAGCACGGCCCCCGGCTCCACCCCTGAAATGCATCTAATCGTCTCCGGCATCATCACAAACCGATGCTCTCCAATCCTGTCGAGAACCACGCCGGAGAGGAGAGACAAAACTTAAAATAACGCCTCCTCGCAGCACACCGCGCGCCACACGTCGTTTTTTCCCCCACCCACCCCTACTTGGGCACCCTCCCAGGTACACACGCACTAATAAAACAGAAGCAGTGAGAGAGGAGCAAAAAAAAAAAATGTTTTTGACACATGCAAGTCTCAGAAGATAACAAACACGCCAAACAAAACAAAAACAAAAACAAAATACAAAGACCCCAGACACTTCTGCGGTATTTACGCCTAAGAGAAAAGAACAAAAATTAAAGAACTCACAGGGGAATCGCTCACAGGTAGCACCCTAGAAACGCAGACGCTGGAAGAACCAGCGGTTGCTGCCGGCGTTGTAGCGGGCCTGGAACAGCTTCCTCACCAGCTGCTTCGACTTGGACTTCTTTGCCGCGTCTGACACGTTGATGCGGCCGCGGAGCTCCTTCGACAGGTCCATGTTGTATCGCGTCGGCAGGAAATGCTTGTGGTTCACAACACGCAGAAACACGCCCACGCGAGAGCGGCGCTCAATGGTGCGCTTGCTCATGCCGCGAACAACCTTCTTCGGGTACTTCTTCATACCGGCAATCAGCGAGTGGCCGTACGGGCGCTCCTTGCTCTTGGAGTCGGTGTTCTGCACAATCACCGCCTTCTTGCCGGCGTAGCGGCCAGAGGTCATGATCACCACCTTGCCAGGCTTAAGGAACTTCATTGGTGCTAGAAGCCAGAGACTA